TCGGATAATGTTTTGAACAATGTCCATCTACCAAACACCAATCGCTACAAGATCCATGAATCATATGTTTCATAATTATATCATGTAAAATACGATTTTCACATGGATCTGGAATTTCAGCAGAAATGTTTTTATCAACAATCTTTGGAGTTGTTATTTTAAAATTGTATTTTAAAGTGATCAACATATAAACATGTGGCAAACCACGTTTTTGAAATTCAATAACATACACAAACGCTGCTACTTCACCAAAGAATTTTTGCTTAACAATTAAATCAATTAAATAATCTTTTTTAATATTAAAAACACGAGCACAAATGACAGGTCTATCAGAAGCTTGTTGACCAGGCAAGAGATTTTCCTCGATTTCACGCCATTTTGGATTGCAAGTCTTGGTAATGAAAAGATCTGGCTTACCAAATTTACTAACAATTGCCATTGTATCTTGATAATTTTGTAACATATTACGCAGCGATCCAATAAATGTGGAAGAAAGTACAACCATTTTTCCAATACGTCCATTTAAATTATTCGCCATAGTTTGTATATAATCTTTTAAACCTTGATATGTTTCAGTATGTAATTCTATTTGATGATTTTTGCAATAATCAATTCTATCTTTTTCAATTTTTACATAACCATCTACCAGCCACTGCTGAAATAAGCGACGTCCTAATAAAAAAACATTAAATTCATCCCGAATACCCATACGATATTTAATATACTGTCCTCTAGTTATTCGTCTATCACTATTTAATTTTGTTAAATAACGATGCCATCCTTGAGTGCCATATGGATAAAATAATAGATATATCCATGGTTCAACATTTGGATCCATAATACTAACTTTTTGTAAAATTTTAGTATTTCTATTACGTATTGTAACGTATGATTCTGGAATTTCTCCATCAGCAGTTGTATAAAAAACAGCAGCTACTTCATTAGTTCTCTGAGCATTATATCGACGTCTATCCATACCTGGCTTTAAAGTAAATAATAATTGTAATTCCGGTAATAATTCACCAGATTCCATTTCTAAACGCCGTTGATTTTCTAATTCCTCACCCATCATTTGATAAGATTGAGCAAATACATTAATTTCCCGCATTATATGTTCCAGATTTTGTACAATTTCAAAATCTAAATATGAATTTTGATTAAGACGATGATCTATCGCTTCATTTGAATCTACAATAAAAAGTTGACCATAAGTAGGACTTTCATTTTGTGCAGCATACAGTGCTGTATTAATCTGATAATAAATTTGCCCTTGTATTTT